AAAAATGGCTAATTATTACTGTGTTTGTGCCACAAAGTTACATGTTATGTACGGAAGGCACATACTCTATTTCTCCCGCTCTCTCCCTTAAAAGCACACACATGGAAACATACATGCGCACAGTAACGTGTTGTCAGCGCTGCTCTAACAATTTTATCAGTAAAATAACTCAATAACTTCGAAGCTACAAGACATTTCTCACAAGAGAGGTAATAACAGCGCTGTTCTTGAAACAGATGAACTTTCATTTTTTTATATTAGTAGAGACGCTGCTGCCGATCACTGTTGAGAGATAAACAGACTCACCCGCTTAGTCTCTCTCTCTCATAACGGCATTAGTCGGCTATTATCGGCTCAAGCCTCCATTGCTAGGTCTACATGATGTTTTGGAATTAGCAATGGAGGAGTTGGATGAAATGCATAAGAAATTAAGTGTTTTAAGGACAAACGCCTGATGAATGTCTTTTAATACAACATCTGAACAAATATTTGAGGTGTGGTAACCAGAGTTTAAGCAGAATAACTGACTCCGGTCCGTTGAATTATTAGAAAATAATGCACACCCGAGGTGTAACAGCCACTCCGCTTCTCCACATCGTGGCCACATCACCACCTCGGGTGTGCATTATTTTCTAATTATTCAACAGCCCGTCTCAATAATTCCTTACTTATTACATTATAATTATTAAAAGGGGTCATATGATGCGATTTCAAGATTTCCTTTCTCTTTGGAGTGTTACAAGCTGATTGTGCATAGATAAGATCCCTGAAGTTGCAAAGACTAAAGTCTCAAAACCAAAAAGATATTCTTTATCAAAGTTAAGACTCTGCCACGCCCCCCTAAAACGGCTCGTTCTAACACGCCCCCACATATCTACCTCACTATGTGGTAGGGGTGGACAATAATTCAATATCAATATGTATCGTGATACAATTGTTTTCAATAATGGTGATATGATTTTTAAACACATTTCCGCTATTTCGATATACATTACCAGTGTTTCCCCATACATTGATTTATTTGTGGCGTTTGACTTCGTAGAATAAACATGAGCACTGCACGTTTCAAAATCAAAACACAGCGTGGGTGTTTTATATGAATGTATCTCTGAAGGGAACCGACTGTCTTCAGAATAGTTTAGATGGCATTTTTATCTGATAAAGTACCGTTCATGTTTACAGCCATTACTGGAGAAACCGTTAGTTCCACCGCTCACAGCGCCTCCTGCTGGCAGACAAGCAGTTTGCATTTTCATTAAACCCATTTCCAGCAACATGCTTTTGTTGTTGCTCTATTTTTTTGTTTTCTGAAGCAACTCGGAGCATGTTTCATACTCGTTATCCTGGTTAATGAGATCCTCAATCTATAAGAATAATCAGCCTACACTACCACCAGTCAAAGGTTTTTGAACTGCAAGATTTTTTATGTTTCTTAAAAAATTATCTTCTGCTCACCAAGCCTGCATTTATTTGATCCAAAATGCACCAAAAGCAGTAACATTTTGAAATATTTTTACTACTTAAAATAACTGCTTTCTATTTTAATATATTTTAAAATGTAATTTATTCATGTGATCAAAGCTAAATTTTCAGCATCATTAGGCCTTCTCCAGTCTTGTGTCACATGATCCTTCAGCAATCATTTTTAATATGCTGATTTGCTGATTATCAATATTTAAAACAGTTGA